GTTCACATTTAGAAGTATCTGAGCCTCCTGTAGAAGATGGCAGCAGCACTTAGAGCCACGATGACAGCTAGTGTGAGGACACCCACAGCTATCCCAAGACCCATCCTGGACTCCGAGTCAGAATCACTGCTGGAGATAACTGCTTAGACACAACCAGAGCACAAACATTGTCACAGCTCGCTTCACATACAGCAGCACTTTAATGCAGATATTACTTTAAGGCAATTACTGGACAACTGCTGGTGTCCCTAAATAATAATATGCCATTGTTATAGAGATATTGATTAACATAAGCACTTATATTCCACTTTGAATTCAAGGGTTTTACTATTTGTTGAACTAATAAGACAAACATTAGATGGAATTGGACGTGATCATACCTTCCTCCTTAGACGACAGTGCTGAAAGGAAGAGATGGAAGGAGAACATCTGGTAGTATTTGTGATGGTCATTTCTGAACTATGAAAATGAACTTCTGCTCTGACTAACTACATAACTAACAAACATAAAAAACCTTCTGGTCTCCTGTACATTTAAACTTGACTCTGGGGCAACATACATAAAGAGCAAAAGATGAATTACAGTCGTGACTCGATAATCCGACACTAAATGTGAAACCTTCTTTTATGTGAGATAGCAAGGCTGTTGGATTGTCAAGACGGAGGTCGAGATACAAGGAGGGCTTGATGCTGGAAGGCTCATTTGTTGTTAATTATTGTTCATAGTTGTTATAACTAGCAGGGCTGGTCCCAATAGCACTTTCTGGTCTCTGGATATTCAGACCCAATTAGTGATGGATATCACACTATTCAGTGTGGTTGGGGGACGCTTCCACGTCGGGGAAGCGCTCCAATGAGGGCCAGAATGCACAGATAGTATTTGGCTGCTGATGCCAGTTTAAGATAGCGGTCACACTTCTGTTTCCACCATCGCCGCCATTTTTGAGCATGCTCACTGCGTGTGACATCGTTGTGTCCTCTTCTGCGCATGTGGGACACTTTTGGGTCGTATGAAGTTCCCACAGCAGATCACATACAAGTCGCATGTAATTAGAAATTTGAACGAAGGATTTTGGATTTCACAAAAAAATCTAAATTGAGCATTAAGTCCTGCAGTGTGAACGTAGCCAATCTGTGGGATTGTTCAGTCAGATAATACGCCGTTNAGTTGTTATAATAACTCATAGGGCTGGTCCCAATAGCACTTTCTGGGCTCCAGATATTTGGGCCCAATTAATGATGAATATTTGACGATGTCAGGGGGCACTTCCACCCCAGGGGAGCACTCCAACAGGGTGGAAGTGGCCGGAACGCACAGGCAGTACTTGGCTGCTGATGCCAGTTTAGTTTGCGGTCACACTTCTGCTTCCACCATCGGCGGCGGTGGGGGTGTGGTGGATACGCTCCACCATAGATATATATATAATAAAGGCCTTTATTATATATATATAAATCTATGCACTCCACCATTAATATAATAAAGGCCTTTATAATATATATCTATGCGCTCCACTGCTACCATCTGTGTTTACTTCCGTAACCACTGAGCACGCTCGCTGTGTGTGACGTCGTCGTGTCCTCTTCTGCACATGTGGGACACTTTTGCGTCGTATGAAGTTCACACAGCAGATCACATACAAGTCGCATTTAATTGGAAATGTGAACGAACTTGCAAAAAAATCGTATTCACAAAAAAGTCTGAATTGAGCATTAAGTCCTGCAGTCTGAACGTAGCCAATCTGTGGGATTGTTCAGTCAGATAAACGCCGTTATCCTTATTTGTGACATAAAATGTCATGTTGGAGTCGGAATCCAAGGCTGTCGGTATGTTAAGGCTGTTTTTTATGGGTTCTGTTTGTTTTTCCTAAAAACCTGTCGGATAGCAAGGTTTAGGATTGTTAAGGGTCTGAGTATCGAGTCACAACTGTACTTAATAAACACAATATAGACATAGCTGTAGTGATAATACATAAAGTTACACAGTACACATCCTACTATGGGTCTAAATCAGAATGGCAGTATTCCCAGAATTAGTAATTGTGGATCCACAGTGAAACCTAGTGGAAACCTACTAATGTGTTACTTTCCTGTGTTTTCCTGTTAAATGTTCAAACTGCACACGTTTGGTTGCAATTTGCATCTCGGGTTTTATCACATTGTGATTTTCTTATAACCCTTTCTGGGGATCTGCTTTGCTCTGTATTGCCTTTTGATCAGTGCTGAAATTCCAGCGATACCAGACAGCTGTACTTACAATTTTCATTTCTGGTGACAATGGGCACTGCTGAGGACAGGGTGGCGGCTTCTGAAACTCCAGTGGAATGAGCATCCCTTTTCCTCCTGTTGTTACATTGCTGTTGGTAAAAGAAAAAGGAACGTAATCACTTGAAAAAAAAATCCCAGCATTTGATGAGAAATGTGTATGTGATGTATTTTCATCATTTGATCCTTCACTGACCTTAAAGTCATTGCAGGTGCTGACTTCACAGAGTCTGGTAATGCAGTGCAGGTAATACGTGGACACCGTCTGGTTCTTCTGTTCAACAAACCTGAAGGCCGGGAAGGAGAAACGGGCGTATTGACTGTCCCCGTTTTCATGCATGGTTGTCATCTGGTCCTGAGAACACCTGTTTTCAAGAAAAAAAAGAGCAGTGTTGGCCGAACATAGACGTTGTTCCTTCAAAATGAAATGTGAGCACTTACGAAACAAACAGGTTGAAGAAAGAGGAGTTGGTAGGATGAGGAGAAATGGAAGCATAGCATCGATCCATGAGGACATGGTACCTAGTTGGGACAGAACAGTGCACATCAGCAGCTGGGACATTTAATAATAATAATAGATCAGATTTATATTCTAGACACTCAATGACGCTTTACACTGTCAATTATTCATTCACACACATTCATTGTGGTGGTGGTATCTACGATTGTAGCCACAGCCGCCCTGGGGCAGACTGACAGGGGTGTGGCTGCCATTCTGCCCCTCCGACCACCACCTCAAACAAACCCTTCATTCGCATTTACACCAGGTAAGGTGGGTGAAGTGTCCCAAGGACACAACAGCCATGACACAGGTTACAGGGCGGAATAGAACCACCGACCTTCCGATTCATTGACCGACCCGCCCTGTAATTTAACACTGCCCTCTTATCTGTGTTCCATTTTCTCCTTTGAGCTTCTAAAACAGTAATGCAGGACTGTGATATCTGAAGGCCAGAGTCAGCATGTAGGCGCTCTTACTGATCAGTCAGGTTGACTGCTTGGACCTGGACGTAGACATCAGTCTTCAGCTCCAGGCCTTGCTGCGGTATGACTAAAGGAGTGGTATAGTTGACATCCTGTTGACAGAAATGTACAGTTAAGTAGCTGGTTGTTGTGTGTGAGCTGCTGCATTTTCTGGAACCTTGATTGAGAATTATATTGATTTTGACCAAAATTAGTTGAATTAATGAGAAAATGTGACTTAAATGAAACACATCTGACTTTGGTACTGTTTGGGCTAAATTTCACTAAATAATTGCAAAAAAATATTCTATTTATTGTCTGTGACAAAACGCAGCGGATTGTGTGGTCAGGGAACAACAGTTTAACTGAAATGCTGAATGTTGTCTCCTAGTAACATGTAGCAGCGTTAGACTGATTAACCTTACAGCCATTGCTTCTTTATAAAAAGACCTGTTGTCTCCACTTACACTGAAGAGCTCCATGCTTAAAGTACTGATGAAGCTTCCATTGTTATCCCTCACTGCAATGGAAGATCCTGACCTAAATCAGAGAAAGGGGTGGCATCATAAACAGAGGATAGTTGGATGCATTAAACATGTCAAACTGCATCCTATGTACTACTGTATATCAGATGACTAGTTGTACCAACAGAGAACAAAAGGTTTCTTTTGTAACAGCTTGAAAATTCAGCCTTAAATCCCCAGAGGTACCGATCAGGTCAGATGTGTATCATCAAAGTAAGCAATAGTGATACAAAAAGATAGTTTGCTTTGGTCTATTTACTATGGCTGAATGCAGTTTGGTTTATTGGTTTAACAACTTCTCTTAAAAGCAGAGAATTCAGTACTTTCCCCATCCATCCATCAATCTATTTTCTATACACCGCTTAATCCTCACTAGGGTCATGGGGGGCTGGAGTCTATCCCACTTGGACAGGTCACCAGTCTATCACAGAACCACACAACCAAGCACACTCACATTCACACTTACAGACAATTTAGAACCACCAATTAACCTCAACATGTTTTTGGACCTTGTGGGAGGAAGCCGGAGAACCTGGAGAAAACATGCAAACTACACACAAGAAGACTCCAGGCCGAGAATCGAATCCAGGATCTTCTAGCTGTCATGCGACGGTGCAGTTCTTTGCATTTTTAAACAATTTGACATGCTTTTAAGCTACACTTAGACAGGAACAAAGGTATCCATTATTTTTGCCTGACTAATGGATTTGGTAACAGTAAAAACAAACCATCACTTTGTAAAGCAAACCTGCCAATGAACAGCTATCATCCAAATGGTCAATGAATCTCCCAGTGAAACAGCACGTCTAGGCATGTACAAAAAACATCCCAAAAGTAATAAAGGGATTAAAGGGTGATCTTACACGTCCACCTGGGTGTTGTTGATGAGATACTCCAGAGGATAAGCACAGGAATAATAATATTTGAGCTCAGTGTTATAGGTGACGATCCCAGTTGTTGGATCATGGGAGTGCACCACACCACTGACATTGACCATCTGGACGTTGGAGAAATCAGCAAAAACTCCTGTGCCAGCTGAACTAGTGGTCTGGAGGCAACATGTAAGGTAGAGAGGAGAGAGAGAAAAGAGGCTTAAGAAAAATATAGAGATTCTGCCCCATTTTGCTCCAGCTCTGACCTCTACTAACCAGGAAGGTGCTGCCACAAGCGTTGGTCATGTTGATGGGGAAGGTGAACCTGACAACAGGCGGTGTGACAGATTCATCGAGGGTTCCTTTGCACTCTGTCTTGTCAGACACGTGGTTTAGGATGAGCAGAGACTCATTGTAGCCAGTGTAGACGACAGGGCAAATTAGGATAGCCAGATCTATCGAGGTTGTGCCACATTCAACTGAGATGTCAGTGTATTCTACATGGGAGGGAAAGATGCATTAGTAAGGTTGCAGTTGTAACACACTGAGATGCAGATGAGCACCACTAGGCAAAAGCCTCATGCCATCCATTATTGCAACACTTAACAAAAGGCCAAGGTGATCTGGACAGAGAGAAAACCACACCTATATGTGAACAGTGTAGAAAAAGAGCTTCCCCACAGAGACAATAAAGTCTAAATCTAAATCTAAAACTGATTCACTCACAAACTAATGAAGCAAAACTACAATGCTCGTGCTTTGTTGTTTATATCAACAAAATAGCATTCTTTTAGAGGTGCTGAAGTCAAAATAAAATGATATGTTTTGAAGAAACCATGGATGAAGCCTGAAGAGATAGAAAGTCGAGATGTAAAAGAAACTTATCATACTGCACCTGGACGTCGGAAGTCATTTTGGCACGTTAGCTGACTGCCTTTGGCCACCATGCATGCCAAGAATAGAAAACTAAGAAGGTTCATTTTTGCCTTTCTTGGTATGGACATACCTAGAAGAACAAAAAGTAAGTATTAATCACAGACAGTTACTGGACATTTTGTTGTTACCTTACTTGGCACCCACCTTAACCTCCCCACTGCCGTCCTACTCTGTTTGTCTTTGCTTCGAGCAATGTATAGAGGTGTGGAGGACCTTTATATAGAACCTGAGCCTGGTTCTGCCCGAGGTTTTATTCCCCCTCCCTTGAGGTTTGGTTCCTTCCCACCATTGCTCAGAGGGAGTCCAAAGGCTACTATGGATTGTTGGGTTCTCTGTTTAAATTTTTAAGGTCTATACCTTACTTTGTTAAGCGCTGTGTGATAAACATGTGTTGTAAACTGCACTATGCAAATAAAACTGAATTGAACTCTGTCTTTCTTCAGATTGGACAGAAACAAGGTCAATGTAGTTCTGTGTGTCCACCTTAACTTCACTGTATGGGAACAGTTTCTTTTGTACAGGGAGTTCCCTGGACCATACCTTAAGGGTGATTAGTGAAACCCTACACAGCAAGAGTCTTTATGAGGGACCAGAAACAATGACCCAGCTGCTTTTCTTTTAAATACAGATTCTCTTAGAACACTAACACGAGACCTCGTGACTTTATGTTAAATCCCGGAGGATCATATATACAATACTTCAATGCTCTTTTCAGCTGGGAGTTGATATTCTGACAATAGTGCCAACATCCCTTATTGTGATCCTGTTGCATCATCACACAGAGGAAGGTACAAGCAGTGGTTGACCAACATATTCCCATTTGAGAAAAAGACAAAACATTTTTCACAAATATTTTAAAATAGCAGCAAGCAAGGATTTCATTTGTGTATTCTGTGAGTTGGATGGCAAAAGAATTTACATAATTAACTAATCTACAAAGGCAAATATATTTTAAAGGGGCTGTATGTCCTGTTCTGTGATGTTCACCAGATTACTTTCTGTATAATGAAGAAATTATATTAGTTACATACTTGGCAGAAGTCGTTTACTGACAATTTACTTCAGAATATTTGATTTTGAGATTGTAAATGTATGCATAATTGTAATTGCTACAGAATTATTATATTTGATGGCTAAATGTATGCAGTGGCTGCTCATGGTTTAGGTAATGAGTCACTGTGGTCTGACTTCCTACAAAAAATGTCCAAAGTAACACAACATGGGAATTCACATTTAACCAAACCTTGGTTTTTTATTTTGACGTTAACCAAAGGGCCATCGCCATTCCTGTTCATCACAATGGCATAAATGAAAAAATGCTTTAGTTATATATAAACAGTTTCTAGAGAACGGTTAGGAACAAAGACTCTGGACTTAGCCTTTTCTTTTCTGTCACTGACACCAGTACATATATGAGGCCATGTGTAAAGACCGGAGCTCTGTTTGCGTTATCAGGGTGGAGGATCTTATCCATTGTTTTCTTTTTAACAATCATTTTAAAGCCCCTTTCAGACATGCACTCCTTTCCATTAATCTTACTGCAACTGAACCTGTTGACTTCATGTCTAAATAAGCACCGTGGCCACTTTTCTCTAAAAAAAAAATTCTTACTACTACTTACACTGAGTGTGAACTGCAAGTAGTTACATACAAATGAGCTGAGTAAAAACAGTCAGGGAGAGCTTTTTCCACATCTCAGTGCCAATATCAGTCCAAAAATATCAAAGTGAGCACAAAAGACTGTCTCATCTACTTCGACATGGTGTTTTCTTCACATCAGATGAAGATTAACAGAAAAATCTCTGCATGAGTCACAGAATGCCTTTACTGTAACAGGCTGATGAATCCGGCAATGTTACGTATCCTATCTCTGAAAAGGGCTTAAAAACAGGATATTTAACAAGGGCCAGTGTTGGAACTGGTGTGGTACATGTTATCTGTGCAAACGAAGGAATGTAGCTTTTAAAAAAAAGTTGTTAATTGTTTTTTCCCAACATAAAACAAGATTGGGATAATTTCCCACCTATAAATCAGTTTCACCCTCTACTTTTGCCTTCTGAGCATAGAAAATAAAGCATCCTGTACTGTTGGTTGCATTGGCTATCGGTGTACCTAGAGGAGCATAAGATGACTGACACAGGGTTGCTCAAAGCTGGAACACAATTCATACATTCCTGACAAACCCTGACAACAAAAATGGACCCAACAGACATGAGTTTCAGATCAGAGAATATTATGGAGGTAAAATCTGCTTTGGACAGCTTTCTTGCTAACCCTAACCCTAATGCCACAACAGACTTTAAGGGGAGATGAGGGCCAAAACTGATGTTGATGTTGTCTGTTTATCCGAGACCCTGACTATGACAGACTCTTGCAGTGGCTGAACTATTTTTACTGACAGACAGTCTTAAAATACCATGTTGGCAATCCTGAATTCCCCTGATTACTCAGAAGCTAAGTTTAGCATGGAGCCCACTAATCTCCAGCCAGTCCCAGCGTCAGTCCAATACCTCAGGTGGTTGGAGTGGGCCTGACTGGCCCCCAGCCTGCTGGCCACCTCCTGTGTTGGCTAGCCATGGATCTGCCAACCCCCTGCCAGCTCTAGCTTCTGTGCTGGCTACCCTTTAGCCTGCTAGTCCTCTGCCAGATTCCACCACTGATGCTGCCAGGGAGTCAAATTCGGGGGAACCACCGAGCTTTAAGACGGCCTCCAGATGACTTCACTGATATTCTCACACATCAGTGGCTCCCAGTCATCCTCTATATCTAAGACTGCTAGCCTCATGTTAGTTCTAGCTCTAGAGTCCCCCAGCCACCTGCCTGATCATCTTTTTTTTAGTCATATTCTGAGCTTGCACTGCACCCGACAGTTTCCTGCTTGATCCTGACCCCAAGATTCCCAGAAGCCACCTACTGGGAGGACAAAAATTTAAACATCTGCAATAAGTCCACATCGTGATTAAAAAAACCACTTCAGTGCTCTAGGCCCTGGAATGCCCATTTGATCCGATGGAGGTGGTGGGAGACAGGAGGATGATAGCTAAGCTCTTTTGTGACACCAATCCTGGAACTTTTCTGACACACCTCGTATATCTTTTGGTCTGTTTTTATTTTTATATCTACATTCCTTAAATGTTTGGTAGCACTATAAGCAATAAATAAAATCCCGTAGGGAGGCCGACGGCAGACAGGACTGAGACCCTCAGGCGGCTGGGCTGGAGGCTGGCGATGGAACCCATAGGAAGGCCAGATACAGATGTGACGGGGACTCTTGGGTGGTCAGACTTGAAGCTGGCAATGGACAAGATGGGGACCCTCGGGTGGTCGGACTGGAGACCAGCAACGGACGAGACGGGGACCCTTGGGTGGTCGGGTTGGGGGCCAGTGATGAAGGAACCCTCGGAAGGCTGGCGACGAAGGAGATGGATTCCCTCGAGAGGCCGGACTAGGGACTGGCGTCAAAAGAGGCGGAGCCCCTTAGGAGGCCGGCAACGAAGAAAACAAGTTACAGAAGCTGAAAGGGGGCAGACGGGCTCGGGGAATCCAGGATCTGGTGAGGGTTGGAAAGAAGCTGGAACAAGGCTGGGGACAGGTACAGGCTGGCTCGGGGAATGCAGGCAGGAAGCAGGTTGAGGATTGGAGGCAGAAGAAGGCTGGCTGGGAGGAGATCTGAGTGAGGAGTGTATTGCTGATGCAGGGGGGTCCAGGTGGCAGAGGCTCAGGAAAGGCAGACAAGAGACAGAGGGGACTGGCAGAAACATGAAGGTCTATGGTCTGGCGGTGTGTGGAGGAATGAGCTGAGCTTTATAGCAGGAGGTGGATAATTGAGTGCCGGTGAGCCGATCCCCACAGCTGTCTCCAATACCTGCAGTCAGGCAGGCTGAGCAGGACTAGAGTGAACAAGGAGGAGGGAGACAGACAAGGGCTCGGGGGTCATTAACTGGTTCCCGGGTTCAATTCCCGGACGAGCCCCCAAATCAATGTTATGCCCCGGCCTAGGGGAACCTGGGGCATAGCATGGATATTGCTCCACACTAGTCCCTCTACCTCGAAGAAGGCCAGCCACAACAACAAGTCAGGTAACAAAAGATGAGCAGTTTCTTTATTTTTATCAATCAAGGAGGGGAAACAGGCCAAAACAACAAACAAAACTTATTCTATAAGAACCCTGACTATCAAAAGAAAAAGCAAATAAAAGACAACAACCTTACCTATCTAACAACAAAAAAAACAGGAGAAAAAGGTACAAAATAAAAGGGCCTCTCCCTCCTACTCTGCTCTCCAACTAAGAGTTTACGAAGGGTCCCTATAGGGATCTGTTCTCAAACAATTCTATAAGCACACGACTGCTGCGTCTCTTGAGGTGCAGTGGCACGGGTCTGCTGGCTTCTTCGAGGTGGGTGAGGCTGGAGGTGAGGAGGAGGACCACAGCTGGCGGGCTGCTCAAATACCGGGTTGGCCCGCCCTCCGGCCAATAGTGTGGCTGGGAATCGGCGCAGCAGCAAGTGATCCAGCCAACCCGGGGTCACCACCTGCTCCCAATTCACTCGTTCCACCACACTCATGCACACACACTCACACTGGGGACAGACAAGCAGCAAAAAACACAAGACACAGATGACCCGCACAGGGTCATAACAGTTACCTTGATCCTAATAAATGTCAGACACGTGAATGCTTTAAAGGAAAATGTGACAAGACACACGGAGAGATCTGAGCCTCAACTTTTTGTTGTTGAA